GCCTTCAATACTGCTAACATGTGCTAAGTAACAGACACATTTTGGGGAATGACAGTGCTGGCAGTAGACCAGACTGCTTTAAAAGCCATGTTTAGAACACTGATCAGATAAAACCGCACAGTGCAGGACAGAGGAGATCTGAGCTCTGTTCTTGTCTCCACTGCAGTCAGATGGACGGCTTTATACAAATTAATGAACCCTCACTTCAGTTTCCCCATAATCATTAATATCTCCTTCTGCTGAAAATACAACACAGGAGATGAATGGCTCTACAAGCCAAAAGTATGCTTATATTTCCTCTAACTTCACATTACTGCTATTTCATATGGTGACTAACAGAGGGAGAGAGAAGGCACCTGCTCCAGACCAGAACACCTCTCTGATACTTTCATTAGAATTCAGTTATAAAGAACACCAAACAAAAACCAAAATAAAAACCAAACCCCTTTGCTATGAAAATAGAAAGGGTATAGGGAGGGGAAAGGGGGCACAGTCGGTCTCTGTGAAGACTACACCAGAAAGAACAAATCATCTCTGATAAACATTAATCATATTCCTACTGGAGTATTACAAACACTGCCCAGGTAGTTCACTGCTGAGAATGGCAAAGCAGCAACACATGATGGTACTGGCACCTTGCTGGGTGCTGGCTCTGAAAATACTGAACTGTCTCACTTGAACGTCTTTTTTTCCTTTAAGCTTGCACATTAACTTGAATGGTTTGCATTGAAACTAAATTAAATGACCCAGGTAATCCTTAAAACTTACCTACAGCAAGTAATCTTACTGCTGGTCTTATGTTTAGAGACTGATTTCTGCTCAGGAGACCACAAGCCTTGATTAAAGCAAACAAAAAGCCAAAGTAAATGACAAATGACCAGTGTTCAGACTGAAAACTAACGTTGTCAAAAAACTCAGCTGGGACTTCACAGGGACTAAAGTCTCATCCACTGCTAGAAGGACATTTAAATACATAGTATTTATCAGTAAAAAAAAAAAACCTATTTAAATAATATAGTGAGTGTCTCTGCAAAAAATCATAGTATCAAAGTAGTACATTTTATCCCATGGCTCCTCACTACATCACCCTTTCCAAAGGAGTTTAGTGATTTAAATAACTATCTAATATTACTTTAGGTAATTTATTTTGTATCTCATCTCTTCTGGATATAAAGAACTGTACCCATCTGTAGGTAGCTTTGCTATACAACTTTAATAGAATTTACTGGCTTAATGGAAAAGTTGGAGGAAGAAGACATACCAAAATCACTGGAAGAACAGGATGCCAACTGATGAGTAAGAGGATTGTATGAAACGCACTGAATAGAGTCATTATGCCTAGAATGAAGTTACAATCATATTTCAGTAAATCATTCTTAAATGCCCCCTTTGCTGACTTTCAGCAAGATAGCCGAAAGGTTCACCAGATGCTAGAAATAATTTGATCAGTTTATATTACATCAAATTAATCTGCTATTACTGTAAACGAGATTGGCAATAAACCTTACAAAAATTGTCTCTAAGTGGCAGAATTCACTGTATTTCATCAAGACCAGCTAAAAATGTACAGAGATAGTGGTTTGTGAAACATGATTAAAGGTTATATCCAAATACGAAACCAAATACGCCTGCATATGCTCACAGTAGTCCACTGGCTTGTGCATACAACTAGTGATGCACACACATATTCAGAACAATTTGAAGATGCCATTTAAGAGGGATGATGTAAAAACAAAGCCAGAAGATGGAATACACCAAAAGCTCCAAACCTGATGTTTAGTTTGCTCTTTGAACCAGCTTTATATTAATTTTGTTTGTTTTACAAGAAGAGTCACTTTCTGTTTAATTTTACTCTGATCTGTAGAGAGTTTCCCCAGTTCTCTGCCATCCCTCTAAATCCAGAGGCTTATCCAGACTTCGCACCCTCTTTTAAGCCTTTAATTGCTTTCCTGCCTCGTTTAGATACTTTGACTGCTCTCTTCCTCCTCCCTTTCCTATTACCCCCTGGCATTTTCTCTGACCTTAGCCAACCTTCCTCCAGATCTAACAGCACACACTATTTGACAGCAGAAGAGCATAATCAAAGTCTGCTTTTGAGAGGCACAGAATTGGAAGGCGTCACTTACGTGTATTTCAGAATTCCTTCTAACTTTGAAGTCCAAATTATCACACTTTTATCAGCAGAGCCAGATGCGAAGCGCTTGCCTAGGAATTAGATATCATTTAAATCCCACGCATACAAGAATCCCTTTCACTCCAAACATTCAATCAAAGAGAGAGCAAGAAGTTCTTGAACTTGACAAGGCTCATGTAATAAAGGGCCTAACACTGCAAGTGTCTTGATGTGACAGCACTCCTCCAGCTACATGGAACTCGGGTGACTACTTTGCTGCTCCCACAGAGAAGGCTGTGCTAAAGCTCAGCCAGGCAAGGAAGCAGCCAGACTTTCCAATGCTGTCAGTCACGGGGTGTGCATTTATGTTAACAGGGCCAAGGGAAAACCAGTCCATTTCCACAGGTACCCCTGAAAGCTTAACCAGCAGGATCTGAGAGGAAGTCCTCTGAATCCACACAGTAAGTCCCCACAGAATGAGAACTGGAAGCAGAATAAGGCCTGTAGTGAGCGTGGTAGCACGTGGGGGATCAGAAGGTTGGGAAGCCTTGGGATAGAGAAACTACGGGAATAAAACTAAAAACCACAGGCAGGTGCTAGAGAGAGGACCTCTGGGACAAGGCTTCTCCTCACGTTACCCACAGATATTAACTTCACCACCCCTGAAGTACAAGGGGGAAGCAAGCGGGGACTGCAGTTCTTGGATTAACAGGTAGCCTCACATGTAACAGTAGGGTACTTCTGCAGATCAATCTCTCCATTACAAAACAAATAAACCACCAACACTCACATGTGTGTTCAGATGAGTTAGCGAAACAACCCTGGTTTCTCTGTCTAGCAACTGGCACTACAGACATACACTGTACAAACCAGACTAGCAAAGCCCCCCAAGTGGTATTTACCATCTTTGGCATAAGCCACGCAGTACACAGTGCCCTTATGTCCTTTCAAAGGCTGGATTAAGGTTCCATCAGAAGTATCGTATACCTATTTAAACAAGGAAAAAAAAACAAACCAAGACTAAAGCCAAACATTCAAACAAAAAGACATACATAAAAAAATATCTCAGCGAGGGCTAAGATAAAATTACTGAAGGCCAAAAGGATTATACACCTTCTTTTGTGTTCTTTTTTTACAGCGCATATAGTCCATGCAAGACAAAATGGCTTAAAGTGCAGCTTTCCTTAATGCTTCTCAGAATGAGAAAACTCAGTGCTAGAAAACTACATGCACAGAAAAGTCCAAACACCTAATTTGCCCTGTGTGCCTTTACTCCTTCCTTCTTTCTCTTCATTAGATGCTTAAATGTAATAAATTAGTGGAAAGGACCCTATCTCAATGTCCTGTTCCATGAGCACTGTGAACTGCAGCCCGCTGCCCTGTACTCCTGCACTACATTTCTATGTCATGCCACCCCTGCCCCACTGAAAGCTTTGAGGGCCCAGGAGCAGCACAGCCCTGAGGGCCCAGGAGCAGCACAGCCCTGAGCTGCTCCTCCTGATGAGTAAGCCATGGGCAGGCAGAACCAGGGAAGCACAAAAAGCTCCAGCGGAAGCTCCTCACAAAGCCAGGGCACCAATTTGAGTTCCTTTTCACAGCTTTGCATGAAACTTATAACAGTGCAGTGTTTGCAAACCCACACCACTGTGCTATATGTGGGTTAACGGACTTCAAACCACCAGGTGAGGTGCGAGTGGATGAGATGAGGAAAGTAACTTAAATCTCATTACTTTTGGAAACAGAGCTTAAAACTTGGTAAGAAACATTAAAAAGCTTCAAAACCCTTTAAAGTTAGCCTGCACTAACATGTATGCAGGTAGGAGGCTGGACTAGTGGAGATAAGAGGATTTTTGATAGGTTATCTTCATAAGTACACGTGAAAGAAATCACATGCATACAACTATAAACGTAAGAGGAAAAAGTTTCCCTACCAGCAGTCTATTTCCAGCAGCAATTATCAACTGCGTCCCATCCGGTTTGAATGCAAGGTCATAAATACTGAAGGAAAAAGAAGAAACAAATTCCCCCCAGGATAACTCTGTTAGTAGACAGAAAATAGATTTTCTTTCACGTCAAAGATGCCGCACAACGAACACCGGTAACTGCGTACTCCAGAGGCCAGCAGAGCCTGAGAAAGAGCCCCGGGATGGTCTCCCCGTGCCCCGAGGAGCCCAAGCACTGCCCGGCGCTGGCGGCGCCCCGGGGGCAGACTCTCACACGTACGGGCGCGGCTGCTGCCCTGCGGCTCAACGGGAGCTGAGAAAGGCAAAACCCACCCCGACACGGGGCAGCGTTCTGAGCACCGGTATCGAGCAATAGGAGCGCAGCGCTGCTGCCGCGGGGGCCTGCGCGGGAGGAGAACCGCTGCTTGCAGGAGGACGCTCAGCCCAGGCCTCCCGCAGCCCGCGCGGTGGGAGCGGAGCAGGGCAGAGCAGCGGCCGGTACCGCCGAGCCCAGCGCGGCCTCAACCAGCAGCCCCAAGCCGCGGACTCCGCCGCACACCCAGCGGGGGAAGTGCCACCGCCATGCCCGGCACCGCTCCCCCGATGGCCCGGCCGCCGCCCGCCTGCTCCCGGCCCACAGCCCCACCGGGACGCGACTCCTCACAGGCCGCCCCGGAAGCGCAGCAGCCAGGCCGGTCCCCAGGGCCGCTCACCAGTGCTCGGCATTATCGCGCCAGGTGAGCGCGGCCCGCATCGCCCGGGCCGGACCGGGCCGGGCCGCCCCTCCTCAGCAGTCGGTTGTTTACACCCGCCCCGCGGGCGCCACGGGCAACGCTCATGCGCCTGGGGACCCGCCGGCCCTCCGCAGCAGCAGGGGGCGCTCGCCAACGGGCCCAGGGCGCGCTCGCGCAAGGCAGGACGCGAGAGAGGTGGCAAATCACGTGATGGCGGCGGCAGAGCGGAGCTGGAACGAACCGCAGCGCCCCCCAGCGGGACGGGGGAGGCGGCGGCAGGTGATGCCGTGGGGAGCGAGGGGCCCGGGGCCGTGCGGGGACTGGGCCTAAATTCGCCGCTTCCCAGAGCCGTCGCTCTAGGCCAGGGGCCGACCTGTGCTCTGCTCCCCCGTGCAGCCTCCCGGGGGGCAGCCGAGACGCAGCAGTGGCGGAGCGGCCCGGCCCCAGCGCCAGCGCCAGCGGCGGAGGCACCGGTGCGGCGGCGGAAATGGAGTTTGCGAAGCAACCGTGGACGGCCGGGCCCAGCGCCGTGCCCGTCGGCTGGCAGCGGGTGACGAGGCGCAGGCAGGCGGGCAGGACGGCGGGGAGGACTGATGTGTATTTCATCAGGTGAGGCCGGTCCCGGGGCAAACCCCGCCGTCCCCTCCCGGTAGCACGGGCGGGGCTCGCGGGTGTGTGAGAGCGTGCGGGGGTCCCGGGAGGAAGCGCACAGCGCGGGGCGGGTTTGTCGGTGAAGTCGCGGTGGAGCTGTCCCGGTCCAGGGGTCACCGCTCAGCTGCCTCTGCCCTTTGGGTTGCTGAGATGCTGCACTAGATGCGAAGCGAGAGCTAGGGGTGAAGGGGGGTGTCGTTCATCCCCTTTTCTCTCCTACCACAGCCCTGACGGAAGTAAACTGCGCTCCAAAAGGGCCCTCGCGGAGTACTTCAGGAAAACTGGGGAGACATCGCTGAAAGTGGAAGATTTTGATTTTACAGCCTCTAATGGGAGGAGGAGATGTCCGAGGGTGAAAAGCTACAGCACAAAAGCCACGAGAAGTGATTCAGAGAATGAGGATCCTCACAGTCGAGTGCAAGGCCTGCAAAATGATGCAGAGGATGGAATTCAAAGTGTTCAGGCTGGGAATGAGCACCTGGGAGACGCTCCATGCGCTTTGGAAGGCCGAGAGTTGATCAGGAAAGGCATGAACCCAGAGGAGTGTTTGAAAACCAAAAAGGGGGCAGATTTAAAACGTGTTCAGAACAGGAAAGCTGTGAAGAGCTCAGAAGAGAGGGATCTCGACAGCACCCAGAACAAAAGGCAGAGAAGAGCAGGGAACAAGCAAGAAACGGGCTGCGTACAGAGCAAGAGGCTCTGTAGACAGAGAGACACGAGTGGGGCGGGCAGGCGGGGTGGGGAGGAGCAGGGGGCAGTGCCAGCTTGCTCGCAAAGGGGGCTGCAGGGCCTGACAGAGGAGGAACCTGCAGAGGCAGCGTCTAAAGACACATATGCACAGTGTGAGGAGAAAGCCAGCAGGTTGGGAGTAGGGAAAGAGGAAGGTGGAGAGAATCCAGGTAACCAGAAGTCTAAACCTGAGACTGAAAGGGCTGCTGATGCCTTGCAGCTGTGTGACAAGAGCAGCTTCACAGCCGTTCAAGTGCTGCCAGGTACGTGTGTGGATTGAGCAGCACATGGGCCTGTCATTCTGCCAGGGGGGTTACCCATACAAGCAGTTTTCTGTTCCAGGTCAGGCTGCTTCAATATCTGAATCTGTCTCATTTCTTTATCCAACAACATTTAATTTAATGCAGATTTGCTCACAACTGGAACTTACTCTATTGATCTCTTTAGCCATACAATACAATAGCGTTCATTACCTTCATTGCACCAACTCTTAATGTCATTGCACAGTTGGTCAGTTTGGTTCTTAGAAAAGGCTCTTTCTGGCTTGTTTTGTGTGCTGAGTGTGTGGGCAACATTTGATACCTCAGCTGTAGTTTGAGCCTGTTTCTTCAGACTGCAGCGAAGCAAGTCTTCTCTTGTGAAGACTTTTCAGAGACTTGAAATGCAGAGGAGTACCGGAGTGAATCTAAAGCATATTTATGTTCTGGACACCTAGAAGAAATCCTTGTCTTTGCATCACAACATAAAGTGGAAAAGGTGCATGAGGCAAGAAAGCAAAATGCTTGGGTTCTTTTTCCCTTTTTAATGCTGAGGTATTTCTTTACAGAAGAGTCTATCCCACGGACACAAGTGGATAGGAGGAAAACAAGTCCATACTTTTCAAGTAAATACAGTAAAGAAGGTATATTATTATGATATTTCTTATGGGGGGAGGGATAGGATGGCTCAAGATCAGGTGATGCTATGGGGAATTTCTTCAGGTTTAGGCTGGCTGTGCTCAGGTGGCATCAGAGAGCTCAGCTCAGCACAACCGATCTTGTCCTCTTTTGCACCTCAGTGGTTTGTGTCTTGCAAACAGCTCCGAAGGCTGGTGTCAAACACCTCCATCTCCATATTCTGCCACCACAAAGATGAATCTGCTTCAAAAGGTCTTCATTAGGGTTTATTGTTTTCATTTAAGTAGATAACCCCATCCTTTACTGTCCAATAAATCATCCTGTGTTGTTTCTATGTACAGCTCCCAACCCGCCTAGAAGGAAGGCCCTCAGAAAATGGACTCCTCCACGTTCTCCCTTTAATCTGATCCAAGAAACACTTTTCCACGATCCATGGAAACTTCTCATTGCAACCATATTTCTCAATAAAACTTCAGGTAAATAGACTAATACAATTTGATGTTGTATGAATGGTGGGGAGGTGTTACAGGGTCAGAACAGCTGCCATTTTTAATAGCATTAATGAAAGGATAAATGTGTATTAACTTGTGTCAGTGTAAAAAGCAGTAATCTGTAAATCACAGCTCTTGCCTCTGAAGAAGCTCACTTCAGAAAGCATACACAGATGATGAATAAAGGGAATGACCTGCACAGCCTTCTGCTCATGGTGGTTTCTCTCACTAGGTAAAATGGCAATTCCTGTGCTCTGGGAGTTCCTTAAGAAATATCCTTCTCCTGAAATAGCTAGGACTGCAGACTGGAAAGAGATGTCAATGCTGCTCAAACCTCTTGGCCTCTATGAGCTCAGAGCGAAAACAATCATCAAGTTCTCAGGTAGGATTTCCCAGGTTTGCCAGTGGAATGGTCTAAATTACACGAGTGGGGCAAACAGCTCTTCCAAACGGTACTCTCTGATTTTCCCTTCTCTTGGGCAAATATTGGTGGTGGTTTGTTTTTTGCACTGTTGGTCTTACATATGCAGAGCTGCTGCTCCTGCTGTCTCAACAGTGAGAATGAAATAACGTACATGGAGATCTTGAGTGCAAAAAGATGTGAACAGCTGCAGGAGTGACTCTGTTCTGCAGGTGGCTCTGCTCTGTGCTGTTCCAGCAGGAATTCTGCTATGATTCTGATATTGTCTGTACTTAGAATAAAACTATTCCTCTGTGGGTTCTGAGGAGAGAGATGTAATTAAAGCTCCTCCACGGTGATTCGTTTAAGAGGTGTTTTAGCTGTGCCCCATAGGGATTCATCACCTACTGTCACCAGGAGAGAGCCAAAACTTGTGTTTTCCATCTAAAATGTTCCAAAGCGGAGCTGAGTAACAGTATCAGAGAATGAGGATTTTGTCCAGAGTGGCTTTGGCAGCTGCCTGCAGGCAGTGGAGCCTGTACCTATGTGTTGCAGATGAGTACCTGAGCAAGCAGTGGAAATACCCCATCGAGCTGCATGGCATCGGCAAGTATGGGAACGACTCCTACAGGATCTTCTGTGTCAACGAGTGGAAGGAGGTGGGTGTGCAGCTGCGCTGCTGGCTCCATGCTCCATCCTTTGCCTTGTACTGTTGGCCTTTGATTGTACTGTTGGCTCCACTGGGTTAAAAGAGATAGTGATTTCCATACCTTCAGTAGGTCAGGTTCACAGAATGTCCCTTTTACAAGTCTGAACCTCTAAAATCTTGTCACCTTCATTTTTTTTCCTGTTATTTTCCACTCTCACTGTGTGGGTCTCTTCCCTGCTCCAGTTACGAACCAGGTTCCTTATGCTTCCTGCCAGCCTGATCCTGGCATCCCTCTGTGATCAGCACTGGTGGTCTCTGCCGTGCTGGGGTCCTCCTACAGGAGGTGTCTGTGAGAGGCCGTTTTGCATTCCAGTGTAGGACCCCGCTCCCAGTTCATATGGGGTGGGTGGTTTCGGGGCTGACCAAGCGCTGTATTCCTTGGTTGGCATGGGCACATGGCACATGCCTCCTGTGAGGCACGGAGGAGTCCCAAGGGAGGGGAAATCCACCAGAACAATGAGGTGTTTCAAGAGAAGGTCATTTACTGAATGCTGAGCATTTTCATGGTGTTTTAGGTACAGCCACAGGACCACAAGTTAAACGTGTACCACGCATGGCTCTGGGAGAACCGGGACAGACTGTGCATAGGCTGAGGCATGGAGAAGGAAAGGCATCAGGAAGGCACAGCTCCCACCTTCTGGTCTTCACAGCCTTACGTGCTCTGCGCAGTGGGTTACTCTGACCAAGTTCTTACATGAAGTATTTATCTGTGTGTTGCACCCGGCTCAGGTCGTTGTTGTGATGTCATGTTTCAAATCCCTGGGTTTTAATAAACATATCCCAGTTTTTGTAGTGCCTGTTCACGGTGTCTCCTGGGCCCAGCCGCAGCCCCGGTGCCTTTGGGTGACAGTGATCTGGGGTTTTTCCACTCTTCCTCGCCACTCACTGCCCTGGCTGGCGGGGAGCCCAGCTCTGGTCACGCTGCGCAAGTGGAGGCTGGCGATGGCAGAGGTGCTCTGGGGCCTGTGTGGAGGGGAAGGGGGATGAGGACAAACCAGCGATGTGCGGCACCGCTGCCGCGTTCCGGGCGTGCGAACCCGGCGGCCTCCGCTCCCACGCCCGGGGATTGAGCAGCCGCTCCGCCAGGGGGCGCTCCCGCGCCCTGTTGGTTTGGCGGAAGCTGTGTGCGCTCGGGCAGGTCCTGGTAGCTTCATCCCGAGCGCACGGTACCGGGCGCGGGGCAACACCGAACCGCTGATACCGGGACGGCCCCTCCGGACACAGCCCGACCGGTGCCACCTCCCTCCGGCGGCCAAGGGTTCCGCGCTGCCTCGGGAGGGTTCGGTGCCCGCTCTAAGGAGCCGCGGCGCTGCGTGAGCCTGGCAGGACCTTCCGCGTATCCCATCATCCCCTGCGCGCGGCCCCGCCTCCCTCTCTCGGCGGGGCCTGCCGCGGAAGGCGGCGTTGCGCTCCCGGTGAGTTTCCATCCGCCGCCATCCGCTGCCCCCACGGGTCCGTTCCCCTCCCCTCCGCCATCCGCCTTCCCCGCGGTGCGGGCCCCTAGGGCGGGGGCTTCCTTGGGGTCTCGGCGAGGCGGCGGCCGGGTAACGGGGGCTCTGCTGCGGCGTGGGCTGGGGCCTGACCGGGGTCTCGGTGCGGGAGTTCAGGCCCGGCCCAGCCCGGGTTTGGCCGCGGCGCTCCCTCGGTAAAGCGGCGCCGGAGCGTGTGCGCCAAACCCGCTACGTTCACCGGCAGCGCGGCGAGCGCCGGTCCGTGCCCATCAGACGGCGCAGCCCTCTCGCACTGCCCCTGGACGTGGCGGGTTTGACGCACATGCTCCGGCTCCGCTCTGCCGACGGAGAGCTGAAGCAGCACCGCCTGATCCGGGCGGGGAGGACTCCTGAGCGCTCGGGGCGGGAGGGGGACGTGAATGGGGCCGCGGGCAACCTCCCAGGATCGCATCTGGAGAGCTCTCAGTGCTCTGCCAGCTTCGGAGGCGGGAGGCAGAGGCACTGCAGGCGAATACCCATTCCCTCGCTAGCCTCCGGAGTGGCCCGCGAGTGGAAGGCAGTCTGCGACACGCGCTGCAGGCGGGCAGTGCATCGCCTCCGTGCCAGGCCGCCCTGCTCACTCCTGTCCCGTTTGCCTTAGGCACCATGCCTGCCCTCCGGCCTCTCGTGAAACCTAAGATCGTCAAGAAGAGAACCAAGAAGTTCATCCGGCATCAGTCTGATCGCTATGTCAAGATCAAGGTAAAACCTGACTGGGGAAGTTCATGGGGATGTGAATTCGGGGACAGCTGGGCACAGCTGCCTTGGGGTTGGTGGTGAATTAAGGCATGAAAGGTGCAGGGCTGTGCTGTCACGGCTTGGCACAGTGGGTCGTGGCTGGAGCTGTCACCTGGAGGCTGTCACCTTCACGCTGCTCTCAAACTGCTCCCTGCAGTAAATGTTTTCTGCATTTCTCCAGCGTAACTGGCGCAAACCGAGGGGCATTGATAACAGAGTTCGCCGGCGCTTCAAGGGCCAGATCCTGATGCCCAACATTGGTTATGGCAGCAACAAGAAGACCAAGCACATGCTGCCCACGGGCTTCAGGAAGTTCCTGGTCCACAACGTCAAGGAGCTGGAGGTGCTCATGATGAGCAACAAGTAAGTCTGGGGGGGGAAAGGCAGTGCAGTCAGGGGAGGCAGACACAAGGGAAGCTGTTGCTTTCAAGAGCATGAAGGTTGTCTCAGTTTCCCCAGCAGTGCACCTGTGGGGTCCTGGTTGATGAACTCCTCCTTTGGTCACAGAATCCCAGGTTGGAAGGGACCTCAGGGCTCATCTGTGCAGCCTTTCTAGGTGAAGCACAGCGTCACAGGGGTGGCAGACAGCTCAATACGTGCACCACTGATAAAGCAGCGATTGGAGAGCACTGGCTTCATGTGCCTGTTCAGGCACAGGCCTGAGTCCACATGTAGCACTTTCAGAACGAAGTAGTAGGAGTAATAATTAACGCTTAAACACTGCCTCTTACTGACTCTTTGTTCACGAAAAGAAGAACAGAAGGGTCTCGCTATGCTGAGTTCCTGCCTCAGGCCGGGATGGTCAGGCTTGGTGATAGGGGGACTTACATGGTTCAGCTCCCCCATGTTGTGACGCTTCTGTGCTCTGCTGCATCCCAGTGGTGTCAGCGGGATGGCTCTGAAGCACTTTGCTTTCCCCTGGCTGCTGTGGGAGCTGAGCCTGATGCACTGTGTGTTCCCAACACAGGTCATACTGCGCAGAGATCGCTCACAATGTGTCTTCCAAGAACCGGAAGATCATCGTGGAGAGGGCGGCCCAGCTCGCCATCAAGATCACCAACCCCAACGCCAGGCTGCGCAGCGAGGAGAACGAGTAGAGCAGCCTCTGCCTCTAAGGTGTATTTAATAAAGTGTAAAACAGACTGGGGTGGGTGTTGTGAATGGCTGGAGGGAAGGGCTGGGGCTAGTGGGTGGCTCCACTGTACCACTGGCTCGTGTGTGTTGGTGTGGTAGCTAATGGTGAGTTCAGGACACAGCTCTGCAAGCACAGGTTTATTTTTTATACCACTCAAACAATGGGTGTTCTTTCACACATGCTATAAATGTTCTTCACACCAACCACTCTGTCATAAGCAGAGAAATGAAAGGTCACTGCAGCTCCAGGGCCACAGGCACCGCGTCATGGTGGCCTTTCCACACCCTGTGTTTTAAGGCTACTTAGTTCCTCTGGGCAATGTGGGGTCTGACCACAACAGCCACACAATTAAGTTTTCAAGTGACAGAGTGTTAGTGGGGCTGCTCATGAGCTTACACCTCTGGCTGTTGTCACCCTTCTGTGATACTTAAAATACTGAGCACCAGCTCTCCTGCCTGCTGTTCGTGGCTTGAAGTCAGCGCAGATCTGTGCCTTTGTGGCTGGTCACAACAAACACTGAGCTGCTCAAGGGGGAAAGAATGCAGTGTTAAATGCAGTCAAGCCTAGCGTAGGGTTTTTACTGTAACACAAACTCTTGCTCCAGACTGCTGGTTGAGGTATTTGCAGCCAAATGCACAGGAACAAGAGCTACTGGTGCCAGGGTGGAGCTGAGGCTGGGCAGGTAACCTCACACAGCCCCTGCAGCGTGGCTCCTGCAGGTCTCCCATTGAAGCAGGGTCTGTGACTGTGATGCTCATTGCTAATGACAGACATGACTGCTGGTTCTCAGCCCTGTAGCCTAGTGAAACAGTACAAATACATTCTTCAGGCAGTTTGGGGTAGAAAGTGCATGTGCAGTTGTTAAAAAAATCCCATTTAAAACTGTTTTTCAGTAAGGAAATACTTCAGGAAGTTTACATTTTGCACAGAACCATTCTTAATTTCAATTACTTTGTACACCCCTTAAAAACACAAGATACTCCTCTCCTCAGCCCTCCCCTGTGTAAGGATGGTTCAGTTCCCTCCTCTCCTGTGTCTCCCTGCAGCCAGCGAGGTGTCTGGTGCTGCAGGGACCAGACTTTTTCTCCTATCAGTGCCCAGTGACTTAAAAGTGGCTGCTGCAGCAGAGCCCAGCTCTATGGTGTTCCTTGTCCTCAACGTCCTCATCCCATCAGGGTATCTGTTGGGTTAGTGCACAGGAAGGGCAGGAAGGTGGAGTAAATGGGCAGACCTTAGCTCATGTCCATCGACTCTGAGGTGGAGAGGGAGGCAGAATCCTTCTGAATGCTCTCAAAGAGCGATGCCATTTCAGGACTGGATCTGATCTGAGATGAAAACTCAGCCATCACTGGACTTTTCTCTACTTCAGGGATGGTCAGGAGAGCAGCCACAGCTCTCATGGCGGATCGCTTCAGTTCGTCCTGCTTCTCAAACTCCTGCTTCACGGAACCAGCTTTAACCTACAAACCCAAAGCACTGTTACCATTTAGAAAAGGTGGTGCAGGCAGGAGGAAGAGGACACACAGCAGAGACAGAGCCAAGCCGAGCACTCCCCACCAGAGGAGTGTGGGGAACGGCTGCTCAGCAGCAGGGATGGGCAGCCAGCAGCAGAGGCTCATGCAAAACCCGCCCCAGTGCGTCCCAGCCCCTGGTTTCACCTTTGTGGAGCAGGTTGCCCGGAGTGGCTCAACCAGCCTCTCAAGTCGCTGCAGCACGGCGCTGGGGCAGAGCGTGGACAGCCGAGCCAGCATGATGAAAGTCAGCATCTACAGCAGGAGGAAAGAGAAAACTGCATTACCTGGCTGCACCCACCGGCCCCAGGCCTGCAGGGAGGATCTATTGCTGGGGCCATGTGGCCTCTCCCCCCGGAGCAATGTGCGGCACCCACAGGGCTGTGAGTCCCTGTGCACTTGTGGAAGGAGGATTAGTGAGAGCTTTGGGTGCATCAGACATGCAGGCACTGGCAGCCAACACACTGGAGTTGCCCTGCTGGGCTGTGGTCCCCAGCATGCATCCAGCTATGGGGCCATCATCAACGACAGTGCTAGTTCCTAACAGAGTGTCACTGCCACACTGAGCAAGTGACAAATCACAAGTTTTAAGGCAGAATAAACTTATTTTAGACTCTAAGTTTCCTATAAACCCAGTTACACCAGGGTTCTGTTTTCAAGGCCACCAGGGTCAAGCTAGAGCTGGACAGCCCCAGATGAAGGCAGTGGCAATTGCACAGAACAGAAACGGGCATGCCAGGAACACTCCATGCTGTGGTGACACCCCAGCTCAGTTCAAGCCCAGACTCTAGAGAATGAATTACATGAGGGACGTGCCTGCCCTCCCACAGCTTGGGCACAGCACCTACCCGAATGTCATAGTGATCCTTCAGTCCATCCTCCACGTGGTTCAGGTACTCGTAGATATCCAGTCGGTCGAGGCAGCTTTCCAGCAGCGTGTACATGCATTCGAAAGCAGCTTTCCTCACGTCAAGGCCATCATCCACCATGTGCTTGAATGGCCCCATTTCTACCTTAACAAGACAGAAACCCATCCATCACCAGGCAGCAGAGGGGCAAAAGCCTCGCTGGGCTTCACGCGCTGCATCGGCCGTGCTGCACCCAGAAGATTGCGGCTGTACCTCCCGGATGAGCTCCCGTCGGACCTTCGTTTCGTTGTAGAGGCTGGGGAGAACGGCAGGGAGCAGATCGCGGATCAGAGACGGTTTGTTGTGAGCAGCAGAATTAAACAAGGCTAAAGCCACGCGTCGAACGTTCAAGTCCGGGTCCTGGAGGGTTTTTAAGAAGTCACCTGTGGGACAAGACCACACCAGTCAGACCTGCTGCAGCAACTGAGAAGTGGTTAAAAGTAATCACAGTGTGTTCCAAAGAGTCTGGTTATGAGAACACCTCAGGCACAGCCTAGCAGAGACATTGGAGGTGCTTTCCCTCCCTTCATTTGGGATATAGTGAATGGAAAAGACACCCTCCATCATCATCATGGCTTGACTTCGCGAACGAAGATTTGGGAAGGGCATTTACCCACGCTTACTACAAGCGTGCTGATGACTAAGAAGGCCAATGTGGGATAGGCAAATCCGGCTACAAAAAGCACAGCAGAAGGTCTCCTTGGGTGGAACAGGTGGGACACGATTCTTCCTGTGTTGTCTTTTCTCCTCGAGACTAGTTCTTCGTGAGCTCTCAAAGGAGTCAGCGGCATTATGTATGGTGTGCCTCCAAGTCTCCCGATTGGAGGCCAAGGTGGACCACTGATGGTAGTCAATATGGCCAAGGCTAAGGTATTGTTTCAGGGAGTCCTTATATCTCTTCTTTGGGGCACCTCTCTTGCGGCTACCGGTGGCAAGTTCACCGTAAAACACGATCTTGGGGAGGCGGTGATCCTTCATTCTAGAGACGTGCCCTGCCCAGCGCAGCTGCAGTTTCAGCAATGTGGCCTCGATGCTGGTGACCCCTGCCTGTTCGAGGACAGTGACATTAGACACATAGTCAGTCCAATGGATGTTTAGAATTGTACGGAGGCAGCGCTGATGAAAGCGTTCCAGGAGTCGCAGGTGATGACGGTAGATGACCCATGATTCAGACCCATATAAAAGAGTAGACAATACAATGGCTCTGTAGACACTGATCTTTGTACTTTTCTTCAGGTGTTTATTACACCAGACTCTTTTATGGAGTTTTCCAAAGGCTCTATATGCCTTTGCTATTCTGTTGTCTATCTCTTTGTCGATCGTGGCATCCGAGGAAATGATGCTTCCCAGATAGCTGAACTGCTGAACTGTCTTAAGCTCTGACTCGCCGATGGTAATATGGGGATGGCGATAATCTTCTTGGGGTGCAGGTTGGTAGAGGACTACTGTCTTCTTCAAGCTGACTTCCAGCCCAAAAACCTCAGCCGCCTCCGCAAAGCAAGATGTTAAACGCTGCAGAGCTGCTTCTGTGTGGGCAACAAGGGCGGCATCATCAGCAAAGAGCAGTTCACGGACAAGATGGTTTAGGGTCTTAGTGTGGGCCTTCAGTCGCCTTAGATTGAATAGGCTACCATCGGTACGATATCGAATATAAATGCCGTCTTGTTCGTCGAGGAACAGACACCCTATATGTGGCCATAAAAACATGCCCCATGATTCCAGCTGCCTCATCCTGAAATCAAACCAGAAGCTTTGGTATTTAAGGAAGTTGGGGTATGGTTTTTTTTCTTAAGGAACTTACACTCCCTAAAAACCTCTGTCGCCAATGGAACACGCCTGAGAGCAAGGCATGAGAGTATTCAACAAGGACCCATGTGACAGTGTTGCTCTTTAATCCCCAAAGCAGATAAACACAGATAAATAACTGGATTAGATGAGGTTCACACAGGTGTGAAAAACCCCAGGGCTACAGCTACACCTAACCTCTCACAGTCCCAGGTCACTGCCCTACCTATGCAGCCTTTCAGGAGAGCATCGATGGGCTGAGGTTGGTCTGCAATTGTGAATTTGACTGCAGTCACCACTGTGCTCCGGGCATGGGGAGAGCCTGCGGTGAGGATGGAGAGAAAAAAGAGTGAAGGATCAAGAGGTAAAATCACTGCTGTGACTCTGTAGTGCACACTGCTCTCAGTCACATCACACATGCAATGGAGAGATAGAAGAACAGGATTTGTCCTAACAACCTCCTTCTTTAAACCCTTCTCCTACACACTCTCCGTGTGCAGCCCTCTGCTAACACCCTCCTGCCCCCCATGCAAACCAGTGCTCCTCCAACCCCCCTGCAGAGACCCCACTTGTTGCCTTCTCTCCTCTGCAGACAGGCTTTGCTCCCTGCTGTACCCACCAGCAGTTTACAAGGGGGATTCCCCGCTCTCCCACTGCCCTGCCCTTACCTGATGGCAGCTGGTGTTTCAGCCTGGGCAGCAGCTCAGAGGGATTCACCAGAGTCAGCTTCCCCAAGCACTCGGCCACCACATTGCGCGTCCCCTCCTCTGTGCACTCACAGTGCTTGAAAAGCAGAGCCCAGATATCCTCCACGTAGGGTTTGAGGCCGTCGGCCGGGGAGGCACTGATCACTTCTTTCAGAGAGTGCAGCAGGAGGTACTGCCTCTTGGGCTGGCTCCCAATCTCTTTCAGCATGAAGGGAAGATACTCCTTAAGATTCCCAACGCTGACGTTCCCTAGCGCGTAGGAAGCAGCGGATTTCACCTCTTCGCTGCTGGACGTGAATGCTTCCAGGATGACAGTTTTGAGCTCCCGCTGAGCACTGAGGTTGGTGGTGCGCCCCATCTCTGCCAGCGAGAGGAAAGCCAGCACCTTCACAGCAGAGCTTGACTTGGAGGTCTTTACATCCTGGATAAACCGGTTCACTGTTGCAGGGGCTTCCTTGGGGCAGGCTGAGGACAGGGCTGCCACACACTTCGCAACAGAATAATAAGCCTGTTTGTGTAACGTTGGAGCCGCAGGTGCACCGGAGCAGTAAATGGGTGCAGTCAGCTGCTTCAGCAGCTCCGCGTACCCCATGGGGGCTGCCTTCGTCAGCACCAGAGCATGGAAGAAGTCTATAATGGCGTTCAGAGCCCCTCCCTGAAGCAAAGGCGAATGGATGAGCTGCAGGATTTCAGCAAGAACTGAGCCGCTGATCTTGGAGATGCAGGAGGGATAAACCTGTGCCAAAGTAGTAAGGAACATGACAGCCACCTGGGAAACATGCATGTCGTTCTCAGTGATTAAAGCAGGGAGCTCTGTCAGGACAGACTCTATCATGGCAGGCTTGAGGCTGTCACTGTAGTTCTTCACCAGGATGTCTAGGGCAGTCAGGGTACTCAGCTTCAAGGCACGTTGATTCTTTCTCAAGAAGGAAGCTAGAATGGGGAAACCTTCTCCTAGGATGGGTCTCAAATCTATCTTAAGTGGAGAACTAGCAATTAAGGTTAATGCCTTGACTGTTGTCAATCTGGTGATTTCATTTTTGAGCCTCTCGAGAAATACCTTCAAGGTTGGCTGGAGATCAGTGCTTAAATGGTCTCCTAGATTGTAAATAATCTGTCCCATGCAGGAGATGGCACGCTCCTTCACCTCCTGGTCAATGTCAGCTGCCTTCAGCCGCTTCAGAGTACCAGGAAAAAGGTCCTTCACGTAAGGCTTGGCATCAAAAGTGCAGGATTTATCCAATGGCCTGATAACTTTCACAAGCTGCTGAGTAACCAGCAGGGCTTCGGAAGTGATCTTATAAAAGGGGTCTCCAATACAGGTCACAACAGGAGGTAGCAAGCTTTTGATATGAGGATGGAATACCTCCGGCTGATGGTTGCAAAGAAGAACGTGAAGGAAGGACAGTGTGTCGATCCTCATGTTGGAGGAGCTGGATTTATCGGCCAAGGAGAAAACAATTCCTGCTCGGAAGACATGAGAAGGACTGCGTCTTATTTCAGCAAGTGTTTTTATCACACCCCCACACCCCAAAGAAGGACACAACTGGAATTGGTTTTCTTTCTGTCTTTCACCACCCAAGAGATGCATGCCCAGGGAGAGGTCTACTCTCCTTGCTGACTTCCTGCTTTCCCAGGACGTGGCAGTTCAGACCTAACTGGTCTCTGCACCAGTCCTAGGGGGCTACAAACACTTCTTAGAAAGGTAATTTGCAAAGTCACCCCAGGCCGAGGGGAGAAGGGACAGTTCATCAAGTGCAAGGAAGTACGAGAGAATGGAACGAAACTAAGGCTGCCATAGCCTAGTCTGAACAACAGGCACTCCAGGCAGCAGGAATGCCCCTTCCTGAGCTTTTCATTTTCCCCCTGTTCTGCTGTCAGAAGTCTTCTAGAAGCTGGGGCTCTGTGTTCATCTGATTTTACATCTGTTAGCACTGTTCAGAACACAACTGTGGCCCCTTACAGATGGACTGCCTCTGCAGAAGGGAGGTACTTCCAAGTCCAGTTTCTGTGGCACGTATTTCCCAGAAGACTTAATGGGAAGCACTTAAAACAAAGCTGCTTGCCCCCCCCTGAGGTCGTGCCTGACTCTTGGTTTGAATGGGTTTTTCCAAAGAGGGAGGTGCATGGCTCTAACCTGGGGATAATCACAAGAGAATGTTTTTATATGTACTGTACAGTCACTCCAAAAGCAGAGGCAGGACCTAAGTATTGGAGCCTCTCAGTAGTGGGATGCTGCATGAGCCTACGGGAAGGAGAGCTCAGGGAAAAATGTGGTGCTGCAAATTAAATAAGCAGCCAATACAAATTGTCTTTTTTAAATGCTACTGCATTTTGTAATAAGAGAACATCACTCATTACTGACCCCAGCAGTAACAGCATAACCCCAGCTAGTTTTAGCTCTCCTAAAAGCATCTCTTCAGGGGACTGTGGAAATGGACTTAATGTTCCTATCCTGGCATTCAGTGGTAGGCAGAGGCCAGGATTGGTTTGGGAGCTGTTTGGCACATCAACAAAGCAAAACTTGATGTGTATGCCCTGATGCTGAATAGCATATATGTTAGAAAAGAGTGAAGTTTTTAAGATAAATAATCATATAAAATGGTAGGAATGATTATGTTTAAGAGGTTTATAAATCAATAGTGTGATTTTGTAGATTAGAAAGAGCTATAATTTTGCAGTCCGGTATCGTGGTTAACCAGTAACCAGTGATACAATAGTAGTCTTGGTAGCAGGAGGTAATACATCTGTATATGGTGAAGGGTATAGTGATAAATTAGGAAAGTATATTGTAAAACTCTATCCAAGTAGAACCTAGGCATACCAGAGGCAGTCAAGGGGGAATAGAACAATGCTGACATCCACATAATGGTTGGAACATGTCCAAAGAACAGAAGGTGAAAAAGGACAAGCTGAGGAAGACTTCTTACTTCATCCGAGGAAGACTCCTTACTTCATCAGGACGACCACCAGAGGGGGCTGCGCAAGCGCAGAAGAGGCTGATGTCGTAATGGACTGATGTAGGGCATACGTGTTAATTGGTGATGTAATCTGTGTTGGATACTGTATAAATTGGGAATGCTAGGTGACAAGACTGAAGCCAGATTTGGGCGCGTGCCCCTGGTTTCCCAGCGCTGCAATAAAGCACCTCATATAACCATTCCGGTGGTTATGTGTCAGTTCCTACGCTAACATATACAGGAATCAAACTGGAACACACAGGAAAGGAGCATATGTGGTAGCATTGGCCAACCTTGCTCCTTCACCCCCAGACCACCAAACTTACCAGGGATGAGTGCAGGGATGTGATCTGCTAGGCAACCGGGAAGGACACTGGCCAATTCCGTCAGGAGGCTGAAACAACCCTGTCGAGATTTGATGCTCTTTTCTTTGAGCTGCTTGTGCAAGGCCTTGACAATGTTGGGGACCTTCAGTTTGAAAAAAGAAATCCAGGAATACACACATCAGTCACCCGGCTTCCAGCGCACGGAGCAGCTTGTTCAGCTGTGCCAGAGGAACTAACAGCATGAGGACAAGCAGGAGCACAGCATGGAACAGCGAGCCCCATCACCGGAGCATGGGCTGGGCTGGATTACCGGCCAGGATATGTTCTACTGACAGACTAAGGAGCCCTTCCTGAAGCCAAGGTTATCCCCTAACACAGAAGCTTATGGAACCACAACAAAATTATCAGACCAGGCCACACTGGTAAAGGAGCTCAGAATTTTGTGATTCCTTCCCTCTCTGCTGTTTAAGGATCTAGCCCCATCCCTGTGTTGAAACCTGCCAGTGAGTCAGTGAAATCAAAATCACAGGGCTGAGGTGCAAGTTGTTTAAATGAATAGCTTACAGTGAATGATGTAATTTCATTTTGGAAGGGATTTTAATCCTCCTGCTTCAGGGACTCAGCAGTCAGTGATAAGCAGCATCAGCCAGAAAAAGCTGCTCTTGTGGTCATGCTACTCTGTAACTACATAGTTATTTCCAATGTTCCTTTTGTCTTTTGAAATGGCACATGTACAGCACAGTGTTAGCAAGGACCCTGGGCTAGGCAGTCCTGATCAGCACGTGTGGCTAAATTATGCCAACTGCAATTACTCCAGCATTGTTCTAAATTAGAGCAGTGTGTCAGAGAAAGTGCTTCCACTATTGTCTGCTCAGCAGTGATGTGAAGACTATGCATGGCCACAGCTAGCTCCCCTGGAAGGCACTGGCTGTTCTCCTGTGATGAACTGAGCTGCATGCCCTCCCGTGCCTGCTGACCAGACCCAAACCTCCATGAGCTTCCCATGGCTTCCTCCAGTCTATTTCTACACTTTATTCAATGAGTTTCCTAGCTACCTTCTCATGCTTAACTACTGGGTTTATTCATTGGTGGCACAGTATCTACTTCTCTTCATTCTGATTGAATCCAGCCACCAGCTTCTCACTCACCTGGTTCTGAAGCATCCTCAGAGGAACATCATCTTTGCCAGAGGCATCGGCTGCATGCAGCCAGCTCTGGATGGGCAGCGTTTGCCTCAGCAAGGAGATGTAAGCACTGAAGATATCAGCTTTGACATTCTCCTCCCTCTCTTTGAATCTGCTTATCAAGACCGGGGAAAGGGTTTTGTAGAAGTCCTGCAGGAGGTCGTGCCTGCTGCTGACGATGGCCTCCAGGCACTTGGCTGCAGACCTGCGGACCTTCCAGCTGATGTCATCGTCATCGCTGTACTCGTCATCACTTTCTGGAGAGAAGGGAAAACAAGGAGCACTGTTATGGGAGACCTGTTATGAGCTAGAGGATCACCTGACCCTCAGAGCTGCCCTCTGCCATGACCAGACATCAGATGCCGGCAAGTCACATGTATCTGGGAACAGGGAATGGTCCAGAATGGCTCGTCCCTGCAGGCGTCACTACCAGCCAATATGAGCCAGGGCTGCCCTGCAGCAGATTCTTCTGTTCCAAGTTAAGAGCTGACAGAGAATGAACCTGAATGTTGCAGCCCTCACTGACTGCGTCAGCTGAGGCACCAAGGCTTTTGTTGTGAAAGGAGAATGAGGTTCCCAGATTTTAACTCCAGAAACATGTAAATATTTGTCTTAGCAATTCCTGAATGGCACAACACAGTGTAACAATTTACTGCTATTGGCAGAACATTCAACATGTTCTCCAGGAAGCAGGCCAGGATTTTACCCCGTTAGTATGAAAGCGAAGAAAAACGTTTTTTTCCAAGGAACTTGTTCTAACTTTCACTCTTAGCAGCTATAAAGAGAGACCTTATGAAATGTGATCTATAACTTCCAGGTATTAAAGGTACCCCTTCAGGGAGAAATGTTAACCCAGTGTTCTGCAGAGCACAGTCATCCTCACAAGCAGGCACCTTGCTCTTCATCCTCCCCATTTTCAGTTTCCGTCATCTCTTCCTCCTCCTCATTATCGTAGTTGTAGTTTGGGTCAAAGGTGATGTACTTCAAACATAACCCCATCACATTAGGGATGTGAGGGTCCATTTCCTTCGGGCACCTGTCATGACAAATGAAAATCCTAAGAGTTAACAAATTAAAGATTGAGCTATTTTAAATATCCAAATAATGTATTTAACCTCAAAAGGATCCCACAATGCTTCACATACTATCTGAACATTTTGCTAACATGACTTAAAGCAGAGCTGCTCCTTCCTGCTGCTTACGAAGCAAGAGCACATTCCCTGGGGAGGATGAAATGATTTCTGTAAGGCAAAAAGATAAACTGCCTGCACCACATGAGTGAATCCTCCCTCCATGGGCAGAAACCTCAGCACTCTGCAGGGCTCCCCTAACAAGTCAAGCAGGAAATGTTTGACCAAAGAATGGAAGAACTGTAGCTCAACAGGAGAGCTGAGCCCCCTTCCTGTCCCCCAGGAATTAGGAGACCTGCAGATCCCTCTTGCTGAGGAATCCTCCAGGAACAAGGAAAACTCCCCTTCCTGCAGAACCAATTCAGAAATACCCCCTCACATGTTGAGGCAAACCAGCTCATAACTCAAGCCCAACTCTGCACATGAAGAAGGTCTTTCATTTGTGAACTGCTTTTGCCAACAGGAACACACATAGACAGGTACTCCGCCCTGGATGCTGAACATATGGGTATTCTCACTAGGAGGACACTGTTGCACACCATGGTGCATGGCTGTTCCTTGAGGGCACACACCTTCTCACAAAAGACTCAAAGGCCTGAAAGCAATATTCTCTCAGCTCGTCATCTTCCACATTACAGTACTGAACAATCAGAGGAATTATCTTCTCCAGATGTTCTCCTGGGAAAGACAGAGTAAGCAGCAGTGAAAAACCATTCCAGCCTTCACCCACGAGCGCTGACAGCTCACACATCTGCCACTTCCCTCGTGTGCCGGGAAGAGCATTCCTTCTCAGCACTGTCGGGGCAAGGAGCCAGCAGCCGACCAATGGCCAGCCCTGCAAGGCTTTTCAGCAGAGGAACCCTGGTCCCTGCCTTCAGACCCTGCTGGCATTTCAGTCATGGAAGAGCTGCCATTAGAGATCTAGGACCTAATCTCAGCTCTGGCAGGTCTTTAGACACGTAATACAATACGTTGCCCTCCGTTTCTCCTCTCATTTAAAATGTGGTGAATCCACTGACCTAATTCAGGAAGGGAAGCACTGCGAGACCTTGAGATGAAATCACTACAGAAGGGCAGCCAGAGGATTACTCTGGTGCCTCCTTCCTTCCAAGCAGAGATCAGAGAGCCAGGTCAGAACCACAGAAGGAATCACAAAGGACAAGCCAATAATACATTAGCAACAGCACGAGCACACTTATTTTACCACTAAAAGGAGCAGCTCTATAACAGATGTTTGATTCCCAGCATCATTTCAAGCTACTCATCCTACCTATGCGATGTCCAGCCTGCCTGCTGATGCCAGCAACACACTGAATGTATGTCCTCGTAGTAGAAGTAGACTCATTCCTCTTCAGCTCAGCAAGCAAATGCTCGGTGAGCTCTGAGAAGATGCTTCCGCTGCAGGTCAAGACAAGATGTCCCAAGGCAATGATGGCCCTTTTCCGTACTGCCAGCCTGGGGCTTGTCAGCTGAGGCAGGAGGCAGTTCAGGATGGAGGAATGGAAAGAGTAGAGTGTTCCCCCTAGTCTACAATCAACAAAATGAGGCAGAAGTTAGAAGTCAAAACCTCAGAGAAAAAGTCCTTTTGCCAGCAAAAAACCCGTAAACCTGCTTCAGCTCTGAAGAACCTGTGCATGTTGTGGGGAGGGAGGTTTGGCATCCTGGTCTTGTTTTACAAGCTCTTGTTTTACACACAGGGGAAAGGTTTTATACACAGGGAAAGGTCATTTGTCCCCATCATGGAGGAACTTGATTTCGCCCGCGTCCTTTTGGATGACCTGGGGTTTGTCAATCATTTCCTGCATGCAGTTGACAGATGACACTGTCACTCTGACTCACGTAACCAGAGAAAGAGGCAGCCAGGAGAAAAACTGCATGTGCAAACAGATCAGAGGGCTAAAATAAACTTCCCTGCTTTAACCTCTCCCTCCCTGCATGTGTTGGAACTGAGCCTCTGTAGGATCCATCACCCATATTACTGCCATTCCCAAGCACAGAAGGGCTCAGCATGTCATCCCTCATCCCTGCTAAGGAATCTGCTCTGCTGAGATATTCCCCAGTGGCAGCCAACCCAAATGTTTAAGTCCCCGTAGTAGGATTAGGGAAATAGAGAAATCAAAAGCAAACACAGCCCCCTGCAGAAGGTAATCCTTTAGTACCTGCTCAGCATATCTGACAGGATGTCAAGGGCCTCCAGCTGCACGGACACATCCTCCTGCTTGCCAATGGCTCCTGTCAGCTGGGCTGTGATCTTTTTGCACACATTTGCTGTCATGGTGGAGCCTGCAAGAGGGAGATTTTTTTTCCCCACTGTCAATTCAAAACAAGTCTTTTTACTGCTAAGAACCATTTGATTCCTTCTACATTAGGAAGAGAAATCACCCCTGGGAGACCTAACCAGCACAGAAGTCAGGTTTTGTTTGAGATGGTGGATACATGCTGCAGATACTCCCCCTGTGGTACCATGCAGTAACTATCTGGAAGAAGCTTCTCAGGCAGTCTTTCACCCTAAAGCACTTCGGCTGTCTCCCAGTGAGCTCCAGGCCCATCAACGTAGGGAGCAGGGGTGGGTGAGAAGGTTCTGGCATGTTTTTCCCATTTTTAACTTGAAAATGTTCAGTTTCAACAAACCAAGGTTTTCTCCATAGGAAGAGCAGTCTTGACAGAAACTGTTTCTCAGTTCCATGCTGAAAGTGAAGGGTAGAGCTGAATAAATCTGTCTCAAAATAGTATTTAACCCAGGTTCAAGAATGTGTTGAGATTACAACTGCAGTCTAAAACCTCCATCTCCTGCAGTCCAGACTGATATCTAGATACCATTTTAGTCTTCATGCTGGGCTGTGCCAGTCCCAACAGGGGGTTTTGTTGTGGGTTTTTCCCAGTTTGTTCAATGCAAATTATAAGCAGCTTCAAATTCCATAAAGCATTAAAAGGAAGGGACAATTGCTTCCCACACCATTCTGAACAGCCTCCATGATGCAACAGAGCCAAAGCAGAACTGGAATGTCCCAGGAACACCATGAGCTGCTGAACAGCACTGCAAAAGGAGCCTGCCTCAGGCATATGCTGCTTTGTGGCCACTGTTTCAAACCCTCCCTTTGCTCCAGCAGCACCACCGCAACAGCAACCGCATGAACTGGAGCTCAGGGTGAGGAAAGCACATACAGAGATGTTCAACTTCTCCATTTTGCAGCAAACCCACACTGCTTTTGCTGCCTCTCACCCACACAGCATCAATCCTAACCCTTCAGGAGCTGACTTATCTGTTGCTACCCTAAACCAGCCGCAGTTCATGTGATCTAAGTTAAATAAGGAATTCTGAAAGGATGGCTCACAAGAGCTGAACATCTTGCAGAAATGCAGAGAGGACTTCAGCAAGCCCCTGCATGCTAATCCTACTTCTCCTCTCCACCTAAAATCCAGCAGCCCAGCAGCACTGCCACAGCCACCCACCATGAAGGAACAACAGATACATGAGCTGGCTACAGAGGAAATGGAAGTCTCCAAGAGCAGTCAGGAGACCTGGTCCAGCTGGGCTGCAGACAGGAGGTGGTGCAGTGCTGTCACTGCTGAGATCACACACGGTAGTGCATTGCTGACATAAGGACCTGCCAGAACAGCACTATCGTGACATACACAGGATGCTGTAGGATTGCTGTAAAAAAAAATGGATTTCTCCAAGAACTCAGATGCTGTTTCAAACTTCAGTGTCCCCCAGGTGACCAGCTCAGGTTTTCATTTCATCCCATCTTTAGTTACATTGGTGCCTCGGCTCCTACTCCCTCTCCTTATTTCACTAGTTTTCCTCTAGCAGGTGCATAAGGAATCTGTAACTTTCAGGCTCTAAACTACCCCTTTTCCTCTGTTTCCCAGAGGTCGTGATTCCCTGCTGTCCCAGTGAGACAAACAGGGACAGATGCTTTACCTGTAGAAGTTGGCGGCAGCTCAGAGATGACTGTTTTCAGTCCAATGCTGGAGATATCCCGCAGCTGCTCCTTGTCTGACAACATGTTTGTGCACAGCGTATCCACAATGGTTTCCACCTGATACTCCTTCACCTTGCCAACCAGCGGGCCCAGACTGTGAGAGGAGAGGAGAAGCCGGTCAGAACAAAGAGAAAGAGGGATGCTTTCACCATCATAAGGGATGCTCAGGCTCACTCCTCCTGAAAGGCAGCTCAGCCCCAAGTCCAGTAATGCAAAGGGTATGGAACACCTATGCAGAGGTAGCTGTCTCCCTGCTGGCACAGCACTATTACCCCTGGCAGCATGCTGAACCCAGAGTTCACCAAGCAAGCTCACACGCAGCCTGTTCTGCGGAAGACTTCTTCTAAACTTTATAATCAGGACAATAACCATTTAGAGTCTGAGGAGCTACTCTGAAATACAAGAATTAGAGAAGAAATACTAAATACTGAGACCTTGTGCAAGCAGTGTTCAATCTTACAGATCGTTATGCAGAAAAGAATGGATAGCTGTCCCTGCTTTACTGGCAGACACAGTGGCACAGGGAACCTGAAGAACTCACCTAAACTGCAAACAAACCCACAGAACCAGAAACAGGACAAGTTTTTATACGGATTTCAAATTTGTGGTATTTTGGGGGACAAAGTGTGATTTCAGTTTTCCTCTGAAGAAATAAGATCATAGTTTTAGATGATAAAATCAACTGCAAGACCTCCCAATAGTTTCTTAACTTACTCCTGAATCCTGATGTGGGTTGCACAGAACCACACTTGGCCCTAATCCACCTACCAGTGTCCTTCAGACCATCACACTTCTCCTTCTTAGAGATCCTTGCACCTGGCTGGGAATAACTGACTGGACAGTAACTGCTAATGCAACCCCAGATAAACAGACCACGACATTCGTACGCTGTTCGGTGCCCAACCATTTGCTTTAATGAACAGAATAAACAAACCCAAAGCAGGCAGAGACAGGAACAGGGCCAGGAGAAGTCAGGACAGTAGGAATAAAACAGAAAGGGCCAAAGGTCACAGGCAGAGTAGAGGGATAGAAGCAGTATATGGATAAAAGAAGGGAATGTGAATAAGATCCACAGTAGGAAGCAATACAAGAACCCAAGGTTGTCTTTAAGTGGCCCACCTTTCTGGAGCCCTGTGGTGAACTGACCCATTCAATTGCATTTCTAGAATGAACACTGGGGGAAAGAGACAGGAAAGAACATGTCAGCAGTGGGATCACTTCATCAGGTGATTCAGTAGTAAAGGAACCTTCTGCCTTTTCCAGTTGGGTTTAAAAAAATATTGAAACTGCCAAAAGCAAAGGTGTCCCTGCCCATGTCAGGGGGGGTTAGAACTTGATGATCTTAATGATTCTATGATTCAAAGCAGCAGCACAGGCTGCACTTGGACTCAGCGCAGGGAAAGAACCCATGTGCAATATAAACGTTAATGAAAATGCCCTCGAAGAGTAGGATTTGGACCTCAAATTCAAATGCCATTTTTGAAAGGCTGTACGTGTTCAGTAGCATCTCTATCAAAGACAGGACCACTGGGAGATTCAGCACTGGGTTTCAAAGGAGAGAAAATTCATGGCCCCAAATTTTAAACTGGGCTTCCCTCCAAAGAAACAAAATCTTAGTCATGCTACTTGTAATATGGCAAGATTCATACCATAAACACTGAGCTGCTTCCAAAGCCCCCTACTGCCTCAACAGGGAGACCTGTATGATCACTGGTTGTACCAGCAGAGAAAGAGACTGCCATGCCCAGCACGAGGGACACCCTGCAAAGGGAGCTCTCAGCAAGGTGCCAGTGCTGCAGGGCTGGGCTCCACTCTCACACACTCTCTGCAGCCTGAGACAGCTCTGTTACTGCCAGGGAGGATGGGAACTGCTGCCAAGGCTCTTACCACTTGACAGCGATGTTCTGTACTTCCCCATTTTTGTCCTCCAGCAACTTCAAAAGCATCTTCACCACTTTTTTCTCGCTGTCTTCGTCCAGTTTTATTGAATCTTTCTGCAGTTCCATCATCAGGTCGTTGGTGGCCATAAACCTGAAAGAACATACAGCAGAAGTGGACTGCCTGATCCATAGACACATGAGCATTTCCTTCCCATCACTCTGGACAAATGAAAACACACTTTCAAAAAGTAACTTACACTCCTTTACACAATCCAGTCTGAAGAGTAAGGTTCAAAGAATTTACTGTCTTACAAGTGTAAAACTCAGACAGAGGCAGCCTGGTGAAAAGGTTCAGCTAAGCAATACATGAAAATGAAAAACATAGGTTCTCTCCTCTCCCTAAGATACACGGCAGGGATGGGGTAACCTAAAACTCTACAACTGGCACCCAGCTGTTGTATTTTTCCCAGTCATTAAATCAAGCTGGTTAACTCTGCTAGCAAAAAATCAGGGTGGGTTTTCTCACCAATTGCCCAGCCTAGGAAAACCAGTCTGGAGTCTATGAATGTGCCTGGCTCTACTCTTTCTGGCATACCTAGTCTGATAATATGACCCCACACGTGGAGAAGGCCTATCAAGTTCAGAAACGAAGGATAAAGTAATGACTCCATGCCTTAGAAGCTCCCTAGTCTGTATTTAGATTATGAGCACAACCAAGCAAGTATTCATCATTGCAGTTCAGAAGGAAAAACACACGCCCAGCTGTTAGTCAGTGTAATGTTCTAACAGGGACAATGTCAAAATGGGTACTGGGAAGTTCTGGGAGCAGGAAATGTAAAAGATACTACCAGAGAAACCTGAAGTTCTGAGAAACCTCTGTGTGGTTATTGTATATCAGCTGCTTTCCAATGTTACCCCCAGCACCGGGATGGATGTCTAAAAGGAACCACAGAGAAGCTCTTCCCTCTCGCTTGCCAAACAACCCCTCCATTCTAAATCAGGCTCTGATGTAATTCTCTCAGCATGCAAGAGCCCTTGTGTACCAGGGCAACATTGGTGTCCTCCATCTGCAGCCCGTTCCGGAGCAGCAGGTATCAGGTACATCTGGAGGGAGGAACTGCTGTGGTAGCAACAGCCTGAAATCCAGGATGGGAAAAATGCACGATCTGATTCTGATTCTGCATCAGCCATTAAAGCTGCACGTGAAGCTCAACGTCTGCCTACAACAACCATGACCAATTATGGCCACAGGCTGAGCTGAGTCTTGCAGGGCACCACATCCAGCTCTCGACCCACTACCTGCTGCCATCCTGCCTGCAGGACCTCGGACACTGCCACATGGATCCACCCAGGACAGCGGAGCACATGAAACCTGGACCTGCAAGCTGAAGGCAGGCAACGGGCTCAGGTCTGACTGTGCACCGGGAGAAAATGGCCCTGGAACACCCCTATGATACGCCCTGTGTTGGGCACATCTTGTTTGGAGTATTAACCATAAACCCTTTGAACAAACACTGAAACAACTCCATCACTGACCTGTTTAAAAAGTGCCTGTTCTAACATCGAAAACAGCAGCAGCCTCTGCAAAAATCAGCTTATCTGGGGATACTGCTACTCCCTCCCTTCTAAGAGACCTCAAAATACCAAGTCTGGCACAAACGGTAACTTCCAGGTTGATGTAGAGAGGGCGATGTTCGCACGGGTGAAACCCATCACACTTGCTCATTTCAACAATTATTTAGCGAATGCTTTAGGGATCAAACCCTAAAAAAAAAGGTCATTTTTTTTCTGCTGATGCAGACTAAAAGAATCTCAGTCCTGTTACAGGAGTGTTCACCCCTGCCTAGGAACAGCTCTGAAGGCAATCTGAGCACAGCCGAAACCTGCAGCACCCAGCCCCGGGGAGACCGTGGCTCCGGGTCTCAGCCTTCTTCATGCTCTGACCTAACAGAAAAACAAGCTAAGAAGCATTTCGGCGTTTCTGCTGCCGTGTTCTTCACCTGCCGAGCAAACACGGGGCTGAAGCCTGACTGTCAACACTCTTATTCCCCTCTCCCACTGTGTTCCTTCACTTCCATTACGCAGGGATCCACCAGGCAAGGCAGGGGAACCCCCCCTCTCCCCGGGGCCGGCCCCGGGAGGCTGCCTCCGGTCCGGCCCTGCATGGCCTGGCCTGACCTTGGTGCCGGTCGGCAGAGCCCGTACCTGAAGTCCTTGTCGGTGGAGGTCATCTTCTCCAGCAGGCTGGAGATGTGGTACGACGCGCTGGCCATCGCGGCGGCCGGAGGGAAGATGGCGCCGGGCCGGGGTCCCCGCTCCCCTCAGGGCCGCATTGCCCGGGCGCCCCCCTGAGGCTGGAGTAGCCCCGCGGGCCGGGAGCAGGGCGGGGTTCGGAGGGCTGTGTCCGCTGGCCCAGCCGGTGCCTGCCCGCGGCAGGCGGGACAGGGCAGGGCAGCCCCGGACAGACCGCGGGCTCCGGCCCGGGGAGAGCGCCTCAGGGCACTCGGGGGTCCCGGAGGAGGCGAGGCGGGGCGGGCGGGTGTTCGGGCCGTGGCACAGCCGCTGCGTTGCCGCCGGTCCTCGCTGCCCGCCCGCCGGCGGAGCCCCGCGGAACGCCGGAACCCCTGCGCGGCGGAACCTCGTGGCGCGGGCGGGCGGGGCGCGGCGCGGCGGGGCCGTTTGGGTGTGGGACCGCAGTGCCACGTCTGAGCTGCGCCGCCGGGAGCTCCGCGGGTTCGCGCCGCCGCCGCAGCCATGGTAGGGCCGGGCCGGGGGGCGGAGGGGGTTCGCGGGGCAGCGGGGGGCTCCGGCGCCTGTCGGAGCGGTGGCGGGCGGAGAACCGGCGGTGTCCGCGGTGCTCAGGCCGAGCAGGCGGGCCCGGCCTCCCGGGTGCGGCACAAGGTTTGTTTCTGCTCGCCCGCAGGTCTCGGTCATTAACACGGTGGACACCTCGCACGAGGACATGATCGTAAGTGCCGAACCGGTGCCCCCCGCACCGCCCTTCGTGCGCGCCGGGATGCGGCTCCCGCGGGGAGCGCGGTGGGGAATTCGGGCAGCGCCGTTTCGTTCCACGCGGCCACCGGGGAGCGGCGCGAAGCTGCGGTTGTCCCGGCCGGGCTCGGTTGTGCCCGTTTCCATGGGCCACCACGCGTGCGTGTAGTGAGCGGGCCGGAGCTGGGGCAGGTGACACTGCGACCTTTCCTCCGCCCCACGCGTGTGTGTGTGTGCGCCCGGAAACGGCCGCGTACAGCAAGATGCAAGTAATTGTAGGAGCGAGGAGCCCGCTTAGGGAGCAGGGTGCCAAGCGTAAATACGGGGCGTTGGTGTCCTCACACCCGCTTCATGGATTAACAAACAAAACCACGTAACTGCGCCGGGCTCTGCAGCCGGTGGCACAGATTCCCTGTCCACCCCTGAAAGCACTGCACATCCCTGCTCTGGGTGCCTCAGGTTTCTCCTGTGTAACCTTTGTGTGGTGAAGGCAGCAGCGCCATGACTTGTGTGGTTCATCTGGGCTGTTGAACCCATCCTCTCAGACCCACTGGGCTGGGACCCACCAGTCTAGAACCCCATTTGTTCACCATTCTCACCGCTATGTCTCAGATGTAGTCAGGTCGTTTAACGGAGCAGCATCGCCTGCGCTGACAGCAGCTTTCCTGTCCCCTGCAGCACGATGCTCAGATGGATTACTATGGCACCCGGTTGGCAACCTGCTCTTCAGATAGATCCGTGAAGATCTTTGATGTTCGGAATGGAGGGCAGATCCTCATAGCGGACCTGAGAGGGTAAAGTGTCGGAAAGGGGAGATTTTAGCTGTGGAAGTGTTTCATGTTTTGTCACTTCGCTGTTTGTCAATGTAAGATGAGGGCAAACTCCTCTAAGTTCATAATGACTCTGGTGGTTGTTGCGAACAAAAGACAAAGTCAGGCTCTCCCCAGTAACGTTGTTGGTTGCAGGCATGAAGGTCCCGTGTGGCAGGTTGCCTGGGCTCACCCGATGTATGGAAATATCCTGGCCTCCTGCTCCTACGACAGGAAGGTTATCGTCTGGAAGGAGGAAAATGGCACTTGGGAAAAGACCTATGAGTACACAGGGCATGACTCCTCAGGTATGCGGGGTCTGGAGGTGGGAGTGAGATGGGATGTGAGAGGAGTCGGGTGAGACTGGAATAAACCTGTTGGTGTTAAGGAGGAAAGTCTCTGTCAATGGCGATAAATCAGTGGAGAGTCAGTAAATCTGTTCCATGTACACAGGACATTTGTGTCAGGTCGTGTTGCTGGAAAACCTCCAGTCCTGGTTCATCCCTTGTTTGCCTAGGAGTTGTTTTACAAATAAATCAGCTTTCAGATAAACAAGACAGTTGGGTACTGAATTCTTGGGGGAAATCCTCTGTGTTGACTGCAGGGAGAAAGAAAGGAGTATTTTGGCATGCTGTGTTTTGTTGTGCAATGGAGACTGTTTTGTCCAGATGATTGGTCCTTGAGGTACAGATCTAAGAAGCCTCCAGCTTTGTTGTGTTACTGATCTAAATAACTACTGATCGACTGACTCCGAATACTGCTTGCCAGTCAGTTTTTGTTCTGGAGTCAGCAGTGCTCTTTGCTGTTGCAGGGGATAGTCTTTAGTCTGTCATTAAGGTGTTCTTTTGGTGTTCTAATTCTAAAAGGGTGCCAAAAATAAAGGCAGTTTTCTGTCATTCAGTAAAATTCATTGACTTTGCTGAAATTTGGGAATGCTAAGACTCTTATTCCCAGCTCTCCAAGCTGCTCACTTTCAGTAACTGTAGTCTTTGTGTATTGTTTAGTTAGTTTTAGGTAGTGACCTTGGTTTAATCCTGCTTCTCCCTTCCCAGTGAACTCTGTCTGCTGGGCGCCGCATGACTATGGGTTGATCCTGGCCTGTGGGAGCTCCGATGGAGCCATCTCCTTACTGAGCTACACCGGTGATGGGCAGTGGGAAGTCAAAAAGATCAGCAATGCACACACGGTGAGTCTGTCCCTTCGAGCAGCACAGAGACCTTGGAGCCACACAGAAATGCTGAGCTGAGGCCTCAAAACACTGTAGGGTAGATAAATACTGAACTGCAGTGGAATTACATGAAACAGGTTCTTGAATTGGGATAACTTGTTTTAAAGTACTCCAGAGTGGGAAGGTGTACAATGTAGTCACTAAAATGAAGGCGAAAACCAAACGTGTGAAGGTTAGTAAACAGCACTGATAATGCATTAAATACAGTGCTGGAAGTTACCTGGGAGGAGATGACTTTGGTCCGAAGAACATCTGTGCCAACTAACTGTGAATAAACTGGAGCTGGGAAAATGCAGGGCTCATGCTTTTCCCAAAAGAGTGGAGATTTCTTCTTAAGCAGAACTTCATAAGCTGATGGCAGCAGCTCTCGATAAGGAGAGATGGGGCTCCAGACAAAAGGTTTCTGCATTCCTGAGTCTTGGCAACTGTGTGTGTCTGGTGCCTTTCCAGTTCCTGTCTCTGTGCCCTCTGTTTGTATATGCAAGATGATATTTGCACATAGAACAGTTACTTGATGACCTGAGGGGTTCTGAGTAAGTGCCTTACTGAGACAGGCCATATCTGGATGTCTTGATCATCCAGTGTCCATCCAGCATTGTGTAAGACTCCTGCTTTCTTAAGATGGGCTTATTCCCCCCAAGTAGAGAGTATGTGAGGTGTCCTTCACCCCTTCAGCAGTGTTTGAAGTAAGCATCTGCTAATAGAGGCATTTTTTCATCACCTAGATTGGCTGTAATGCAGTTAGCTGGGCTCCTGCTGTTGTCCCGGGAAGCCTTATAGAACAACCATCTGGTCAGAAACCAAACTACATCAAAAGATTTGCATCTGGTGGCTGTGACAACCTTGTCAAGATCTGGAAGTAAGTGCTCTGTTGCCAGGCTTAAGAACTCACAAAACCTGATACTCTCGATAATATCTCTGCAAGTCCCTGTTGGTATCTCAAGATTTTCAGCATCTCTGCACTTTCATCTTTGAATTACTGTCTTAGAGAAGTTATTTAAAATTAGAAACAACTTAGTGATGTGCAGTCTCTCACATGGTTACAGCAATTTGTGTCAGCCCTGCTTCATCTTAACTTGGAAAGTGGTTTTCTGATTGTCTTTGATTACTGCTGTCACTTGGGAAATAGCAGATTTCTGTGTGGTAACTGAAGATCAAACACGCTTTGCCTGGGCTGCTTTCTATCCTCTGGAAGGGATTTTGTCTGTTGAAGTTATAGAGCTTTTAGAGGAGAGCGGGGAACACTTGTGCTTTGTATTACCTGGATAAACCTGGAGTCTGAAAACCGAAGCCTTCCAGAACAGGAGATGGGAAATGTGACGTCTGCTGCTGCCCTCCTGACTGTGTAGCTGTGTTTTCAGGGAGGAAGATGGCCAGTGGAAAGAAGAGCAGAAGCTGGAGGCTCACAGTGACTGGGTTCGAGATGTAGCCTGGGCTCCATCCATAGGTTTGCCCACAAGCACCATTGCCAGCTGCTCACAGGTGAGGCTTCCCTTGGGGTGACAGAGGTAGGCTCAGTGCCTTTGCTCCCAGTTACTTCACTGGAACGTGTCCTCTGAACAATCCTTTGCTATTGTCTGGGTCTGTGTGCAAGAACCTTTGTGTTCTCTTTCCTCCCAGACTCGAAGCATTTGTGTTTGTGTGTGTGGCTCTGTACCAAAGCCTATCTGTTATTCTGAAAATCATGATCAGGATGATCTCGCATTGAGGAAAACCTTCACACTAACATCATATTTTAATGTCTCTGGATCAAAATCACTGAACTTCCAGCTAAATATACTACTTTCTCATAACTGTTATTCTTAATCAGCTCTGATGTTCTCAACCTTCACCTTGGCTGTAGTGTTTGCTGCTAATCATTCTGTAAATGCTTTTTTCCTATCAAGAAGACTACTCAGTAAGCTGCTGCCTTGCTCTCATGTGGCTGGAAAGAAAAATTCATGCTGGGGAAAAAAATCAGCTGGTACCTAGGTATTTTGTGAGCTCTTCTGGTATTTGCAAGTCATCTTTGGTACGCAGCTTTCTCACCAGAGTGCTGTACTCCTGTCTTGCTTGTAGCTGTAGTAAGAAACCAGCCCCTTTGTTGAGCAAAAACCCCTGTAGACACATTGGGGGCTCATATTGGAGCTGTGGGTTGGAAGCGTAGCTCCAAGTGCCATTGAGGTGGGGTCTTCTGTGTTGTACCTGGTGGTCCCACCAAGCCGGTCTGCTTCTCTAGGATGGCAGAGTGTTCATCTGGACATGTGACGATGCCTCTGGGAATTCCTGGTCACCGAAGCTGCTGCACAAATTCAATGATGTTGTCTGGCATGTGAGTTGGTCCATTACTGCCAACATCCTTG